GCCGCTGATGGGCTAGTGCGCTTTCCATTACATTACATCTTCGTGTAAATTTATGAGTGTTGCGAGGTTATGGCATAAAAAAACTTTTCATGGCATAAAAAAACTTTTCAACTGACAGGCAGTAGAGGTCTCAGCGGCATATTGTTTTCTGCACTCACCCTTCAGCGGGAGATGTTCGGGTTCCAAATGGGCTTTGACTTTTGCCCTTTGGTCGAATATTCTTGTGATAAGGTTCGGAGCGCGAACAGGGGCGTCGGATACAATTACCATGCTAAAAAGGATATTTGAGTAGTTGTTGCCAGTTCAGATATCTCACCTATTGGCAATGGGCACCCCCGAGGAGAACCACGCTGGTGGAGTGGAATGTAAACTCCCGAGGTACTTGGCGCGCGATCTAAGCGTGCTTGTGCCGAGGGTAAACTCGATGTGGCCCTCAAGCTTTACGGACTTATTCATCCTAAATTCAAAAACAGGTATGTTTGCTAGACTTCCTGGGCACTTTTGCATTTATACACTAGTGATGTGCTGCAGTAACTTCGAAATGTTGCTTGCTGATGCCTTGGGGAATCGGCTCAATGATGGCAGTCACAAAACTGAGGAAATTTTCGGACTGGCGGAGGCAATGCAGAATTCCGGCTTGCTCAAGTGAGGGACTCTAGCTCTATCAGTGTTTCCAGTTTACTTTTACTTTTTTTTCCAGAGATCATGTTCTGTTTCTTCTCGAAAAGTCGGCCAACACCACCCGTGCGTATGAAGTGCTTTCCATTGTACAGAGCCGTGGACTACTGGAAAAGTGCCTGCAAGAGAGGCCAGCTTTGAGGAAAACTCTTGCGCGGAAACTGAGTGAAAAGGTTAACTGGTCACTTGCATGTTCCATTTTCCTTTTATTATAAACAAACCCACAATATAGTGTACGCATTCCCTGCCAGTGAGCCTCGCCTGATGTATCCTGCTTTTTAAAAATCATCCAGGTCTCTCCACTGCTGTCCACCAAGTGCAGATTAAGGGGAGGGGATGGGGCATGAAGTGAACCGCTACATAACATTCTTCGACAAACTCGAACTTCAGTGCTTTGAGGAAGAATGTGTGGTCGAGACTACTAGGCGGTCGATAGGAAAGCTGAACAATTTTTTTGGACCCCCGATGCTACCCTACTTTCTGAGTTCGCCTTTACTGTGCTTAGGATTAGCGGTGTCAGGGCACGTCCTGAAGTGGAGAAAACTGTGCAAAATACGACCCCCTCCTCCTCAAAAGTTCCTTCTTTGGTACAATCCCCCTTCCACCCATCCTATCTACAATCTTCCTATTCTCCCGATTCCCCGCCCGAGTTTTCCAGTGTTTCTTCTCGCCAGATGTTCTCCAGTTTTCCACCAAAACGCCGATGGTTGGGGGTGGGCACAAAGCACAATGAGACCGAAATCAAGAAACTCAGCAACCGAGAACGTTTTCCCCTAAGCGCAACTGCCCCACCTCCCCCCCCCCTCTCAAGAGACCAAATACGACTTTCTCTCTAGGGATCCCAACGGTGCGACGTGTCTTGATCGGCCTACATGATAATCTATAGTGAGCCTAACTTTGTCCCACTACAAAGTAATTTCCGCAGCAGGGCACAGCATCGTTGTGTGAAACACATGGGGGGGGGGGGGTCGTACTTGTCCGCTGGGGAAGGGTGTCGTATTTGGTCGTTGTCGGGAGAGGGGGTCCTATGCGGCTCTGAGACAAATTTGCCGCGCGTTGGGAAGGATTTTCTTGGTTGTTGCTTTTCGTGGTTTTTCCTGTTTCGTGTGTATACCCCGCCCCCGCTCGACGGGAAATCTTTGGGTAAGAAAACTGGAAAATATGGGAAATTGGTGTTGGGGGAAGGGGGGAGGGTCGTACCGAGACCCTCTTTCGAAGGAGAGGGGGGGTCGTACTAAGACCATCATTTCGCACATCACGATGCTGTAACCTGTTCCGCAGTCATGTGCCCTTACCTATTCCAATGTATTTAAAGTAACATCTGGTTTCAGCTCACGAATTCAAAACTAGCGAAAGAACAACGCATCAGAATTCTTGCTGATCTCGCAATTGTACTATTCTCGTATGACAGCGAGCGGACGCTACAAGATGTAATGGGAATGTATCCACTAATTTATGTCCTGGGTGGAAAAGGTTTGTTTAACAAATCAACGAGCTCATCATACGTGCTTGTTTTCATCTCGTTGATGCTTAAACTGTCGATATTCATTAGCTTATTTGAGATGTTGACCTTGCCATTCCCGCTCTCGAAAGCCTTCAGTCCGCTCATGTTCGTAAGGAATACGCAACAGCTCTGGTGCAGCAGTTATTGAGGAAAGGAGATCCATTGGCCGAGGAGAAGCTTGAAAAATTGTTGAATAGGTTAGTGTTTTCTCTAGGGAAGTTATCGTATAGTAGTAGATAGTATTATTTCTTGTAAATAGAGTCTACTGCACTAATCGCATTTGCAGCGGAGCTATCCAACTGCTAGGTGTTGGCCGTGTTCAGAAACAGATATCTGGTCTCGTGATGAATCGCGAAAAGAAAGAAGGAGCTGCTGATGAACGTCAACTGGCTCTGGCTGCGCGTCTTCTTGCTCTCAATTTTCCTCGTGAGTGTTTTTACATGCAGGACAGTATTCGATGCTCTTTCAAGATAAAAGTTGCTCTACTGCTTCACCGACTGGCCCCAGGCTTTATCGTAATGTGGTGCGGTACCCGACTGCGCAGATTTCTTATTGGATCCGTGATCCTCACCTTCAACTTATTTCTCACTATTTTGGTGGATGCCTTGTCTGTTTCCCACAACGCTGGCAAATTTGCTCATTACTTTCTTTCGGGACCTCCAACCATTTTGGGAACTCTTCTCCATTTACTTCCAGCTACTACTTTGAATACTTTGGAAAGGCATTTTCCATGCCCTTTGTTGAGCTTCACAAATACACTTGAACAAAAAAAATGTTTCAGCAGAGAACGCTAAAGTGAAGTCGTCGATAGCAACGAAATACGTTATTGCACAACTTCAATCCGAGCTCCTCTCAGTCAGTCGAGCCCGCTCACTTGTGGAATACCTTGAAAAAGAGGTAATATTTCCGTGAAAAATTTCCGAAGCAGTTAAGTGGGCCCTGAAGGCAATGTTGCTAGATCTCTGGTGCCTTTGTTTTTTTTTTGAGCTCCACGTTGGTTTACTATGGTTTAGAAACGAGTACGGTTTTCCCCGGAGGAAATCACGGAAGGCAAGAAGTCACTCATCGAAAAAGGACAAAAAGAAAAGGCAGAACTGTTAGAAAGGCTTAGAAAGAAGAGTCAGGTGAGTTCTTCGTATCCTCATTTTCTCCATTTGCATTCATTTGTTTGGAAATGAATTTCATTCGTGCATCGCATATGATCGGAAAATAGTGCGTAGAATCCTCTCTGAGCCACAAGAAGCTAACTTCAGTATTACCGCCGCGATACCGTAACCCAAGACAGCGCCCTTTAAATTGCCCGCCCGTCGTAGGTGCGTTGAAAACATCAGCACGGGCATTAAAACTAAAACTACCGCCGATAATTTCCTTTGGCTGGGTGGAAGAAGACTGGTGTGTTTCGGATGTCACCGTGAGGATTTCGATGTACGGATAGACCTGATCTATCTTCCTGTTACTCTTGCTTCAAGCACTTTGGTGGTGTTGCACGCTTGGTGTTAATCAATGTGGGATAGAAACGGCTTTCAAAGCTCGCTAAAGTAAACATTGAATTGAGGTGGTACTGCCTTCGAATTATTAGCCTCATCGCCTCGAAAGGTGGAACAGGTGGTACTTGCATGTAGTCGGTCACGTGTCAACTACGACTTTTCAACCTGGGATTAATTTTTTTTCACAAACCCTAGCTACATTAGTGAAATCAGTCACTGAAGTAGAACAAACTTCACTGAGGGAAACTAGAGGGCCAAAGTTGAGACGGGAACTGCTTGGGCACAGTTCCGCCAGGATATGAGGAAATTCTGTTAAAAACCTGCCACCAAAAGGTTGTCTACAGGAGTATTTGGTACTGTCAGTCACTATCCTGACGAAGTTTCTTGTCAGCACTGGGAACCAAGTCGTTTGCATTCAAGACCTGGACTACCCATCCAAAAAAAATCTACCTGTAGCGAACTGAGTCTGAACTGTAGTTGCACCAAACTGGCGCCAAATGGTATCGTCACGAAAAATGTCATGTCAGTAATCAGATCACTACTTTTTATGTCTAGTGATAGTGACGTTTTTCGCTTTTCCAATCACTAAGCATGCAGTGAAATTTCATGCGATAAGTTGGGAAACCACTTGTAGAAGAATATTCTGGTCTGGAGTAAGTTAAAAATTTATATTCATGTAATTATTCCCCAATTGCAAATAGCTAGAAAAAAGCGTTGTAAGCGTAGTATGGTCAACATGGGACATAATATGTCTCGACCTAGAGGTTCTATATTTTGGCATACGCTGCGCATATGCCAAACATAAAGAGCAATACCTCTAGAGGAAGAAAAGATAAGTTCCAATGGCACGAAGATTTCGTTTTATCCTGAGTGCAGTATATGCAAGCGTTTCCGCACAATACTCGTAGCCGGTATTGGCGTAAAGTTCAGTGTTATACGTACGTCCACTGCGGAGTTACAATTGACTGGGCGCCGCTTTGGGTTACGGTAGTGGCGGTAATACTGAATTTAGCTTCTTGTGTGTGGAGCATTGAAGGAGGCGTGCTTTCTGCATTGTTTAGATTGGTCAAATAGGTCTGTGTTGATGTGAAAGAGCCTTAACCCTAGCGAGAAACCGCCTGGCGCCCGCGCTACAGGCAACGGCGCCATGTACCTTGAACCATCAAATTTGCTGAAAACTATCATTAGGGGTAGTTCGACCTCCTAAATACGAATTCATCACATCCCGCATAGTATGCCAGTGGGAATGAAAATACAGGAAAGGGAAACACGTGACAGCGCAGCCTGCTGCGCTTGTTTGCCTTTCCACCGAGATAATGATAACTTCCTCTGCTAAAGCTGAGCTTTAGGATGAAGAAAAATCACTGTCGCAGGCAACCATAAAAAGTAATGTGTTGTCTGGCATTGTTTCTCCAGCTGTTGCACACGCGGCACGAAACAAGGAGGAGTGCGCGTTACACGCGCCGAGGTCAAAACTAGTATGTAGGGCCGTCGCCTATAACGCGGACAGTTAACGCTTTCATGCCAAAAGCATGTCCAATATTCGTCAGGAGATCGAACTACACCCTGACCTAGTTTTGGCCGCAATAAACACTTACTGGCACGTCGGCTCTTGGGGGCATTGGTGCTCGTGCGTTTTTTTTCGAGGACGTTAGTTTTCATATACAGGAAGGCAAACAACCCCTAAGGGCAAGTTTTCAGCCAAATGCACCGACGAAGAAAAAGTTTCGGCAAAAAAACTGGCCTTATTTCGGAGGATCGGGAAGTGGAAGGGAAACAAAGCCGATTCTTATTATCGGGGAAAAATTCCTTGCTGTTCTCAACGTTCATTTTCAGACATACGCGAGATGGCTTGAAAGTCCTTTGGAAGAACTTGAAGGAGAACTAGCGCACATTCGAGGAAGTCCTGATCACAAACCAGCCGTAGTTAATGCTATTCAAGAAGTTATTCTGAAAAAGATTACCTCTGAAAAGGTTGGCATTTCAGTTTTGAATGACTTTCTGAAATTTTCGAATTTTTTGACCACATTTTAGCCAATCAGTTATGTGCACGTTGATCGTCACCTACAACAAATCAAAGAGTCCGCCACCAAACCATCGCCTCGTATATCCGACTTGGCCAATCAAATGTTTTCTACCGCTTTCTCGGCTGCGCTGGCGGAAAAGAACTTTGACGTTATGCAGACGCTATGGACAAATAGGTACTGTCTCCCTCTTATTGGCTTGCACGAGGCCTCCTTCTTACAGAACCTTTGAGCTATAGTTCTACAGTTCATGCTTAGTGAATGTCCTTTCTTTAACGATGAACTCCTTGTTCCAGAATAGGATCACTATCTGTGGAGAACACATTGACATATATCTCACTTCTTGCCCTAACCGGACGAAAAGAAGAAGCTGATGCGGTCTGCGAAGATCTGAGGGCATCTGCGCTCACAATTACCCCATCGGCCTTCAAACGGTAGCTGCCTTTTGGTCATAACTTTTGCAAAATATTTGACGTTGATGCTTTGTTGTTTTTTTTCCCGTTTTTTGTTGGATCCTATTAAGTATGCGGAAATCCAGCAAGAGTTGGAAAGTTTGCTTTTTGAAGGTTGGCGATCGTCTGGGAGACGAATGGAGTATTGAAGAAATGCGCCAATTATCACAGTATCTACAAGGAAAGTTCAACTTGGGGACACAGCAACTGCTAAGGATAATTGCTTGTGTAAGAAGGCGCCAACTTAGAACGTCTCATAGAAGCGTGAGTGAGCGTGATTACATTCTTACCGTCACAATTCCATTGCCCAATTACAGTGGAAAGTTAGAAGAGGCGTTACAATTGATGGTCGAGCACACCGTTGAGTCAAACAGCGCCCTTGGTCAATATGAACTGGAGCTGCCGCAGCTGTTCGAGCGTAAGTACTATTTCTTCTAAAAGGTTTCAACAATGACCGACATCCGAAGTTCGCCTACTTCAATTCGTTCATTTCATGGTTCACAAAGCTGTTCAAGCTCTTTATTCAAGAATTTTTTCAGCGGTTTTACAAATTACTAACCACCTAGATTTTCTCGAAATCCCAAGGTACTTCGTAGAGTTGAGCTTAGACATATCTACGACTGGCTGCGCTTTATTATGTAGGTTCTGCCCAATTTTTCAAGTCTTTCTGATTGTGGGTTTTAGCTCTGGAAAACTAGAATTATAATGGAAAACCGAGGTTGACTTTGTGATAACATTCGGAACGCGTACCTGCCGCCATTAAACAGCTGTTTTCATCATAACAAAACAACTTCAAAAACTTGTAAAGCCTTCGGCCTTGCGGTTCCATGCCGATATCTAATGATTACGGCTGACCGGCTCACCAAGTTAATAACGTGTGGAGTGGCTTTGGTAGGCGGCTAATAACTCGTAGAGCTGCGCAGGTAAAGCGGCCCTGGTGCGTACACGATCGCGCCCGAAGCGTGAGGTGCGAGTTCGACTCTCGCTGGGGCACGGCTTTTGCCCACAACTCAGCATTCTTGTGATAACATTCGGAACTAGATGACGTTATTATTGAGTGTTCCTTTTTCGTTATTTCGAATTAAAAGTTTCTGGACTGCTCCAGGCTCGAGAGAAATTTACCATCTATCATACTCATTGCCTTATAGGGAGAATATGGGAGTGCTGAAAAGCGTGTTTGACGTTGTCAAACGTGCTCACGGTAAAGAAGTAGCTTTTCTCGATCTGGCAATGGTTTTGTTGGAGGAGAAGCGTACCGAACGAGCGCTTAAACTGCTTGAGGTTGTTTTTTTTTGTTTCGAAACCTCTATTTTATTTTTCTATTGTTCTTTTTTGCATTCAGTGGGCGCGTTAGTGCGTTACTCTTTCCTTTGTATGTGATGAGAATATTGCCAAATTCGAAAATTTAACTTTTTATGTTCATTTTATGAGTGCTTCAGCATAATCGAATAAGCGAAGTCCTGTCTAGGATCTGACTTTTTCAACAAGATCTTCTTCTTTCACAGCTTCTGTATTTGCAGACACCTCAACTTAAAATATCACAGGGAAAATTGGATTACTTCATAAGACGAGCGACGGAAAGCAATCGGGTTGGTAATAGTTCATTCACGCAGTTATTTAGATAGAACTATAACTGTAGATAAATATCATCTATATGATTTCAGCCTGACGTGCTTCGGGGTCTCTTTGCTGGTCTCTGCCAACAAGGACCGAGCGTCAACTGTAGCGCTGAACCGATTATTAGTGCAGCTTAGTCGGATGTACTGTAAGTGGCAGTTTGAATAATTCGATTATCTCTTGTGGCGTGTGACAAGAACAGCGATACCGGCGTCCGTCGGACGGTTGTCCGCGGCTGTTCGGACTTGAGTTCTAAAGGGATGGGAAATTAAGATTTTGTCTGTCATGGAAACTCGTTTCTGCTTGGATTTTATGTGAGTTTTCGCAATCGGGATATCGATAATCATCAAGAATTTGTCGCGCATGACCGCATGACCCGCCGCGACGTGGCAAAACGCCTTCGTCTTGTCTGTCTTGTCCAGAAAATAGGGTAATTCTAGCGGGATGTAGGTCGAATGGTGTAGCTGTGAGCAGTCATAATACGGCTACTGGGTGCGTTTTCCATATTTGCCAGCTCCACTACCGGACAAGTCGTCCAGTCGGCCCACATCTTGATTGACGTAATTGATCGACCCTACATTGGGAGAATGCGAGCTCAAAAGCCGAATCGTATACAGTTTGAAGGCTGGATCAAGTAATTGCGTTGATCGCTGAACTATTTCCCCAACTTTATTTCCTGACTTCTTAGGCTCTTATATCTCTTTTTGACGTGAAAATGTAGCCTAATCAAGATGTTGAGGGATCTGGTCGAGATGTCCGGCTCAAAAGATGAGCTACAGAGGCGGGATGGAGGTGGCAAGTATTTCCAACGCACCCCAGTAGCAGTATGGCTGCTCACAGTCGCGCCATTTGACCGCCTCTCACTTTGGCGAGCTATCTAATGGTTTGTACCAGCCTCCGTTTTTAGATAAAGCCAACGATTTTGCTCAACTGGAAAGCTTAGAAGCTGAGATCGAACGTATCTCGTTTCCGTTAGAACAACAAATGAGGACAATCTTCGAGAATTTGCATCGGAAAGTGAGTAGTCGTGAGTAAAGTGAGTAATCGTTATGATTATGAGCTATAAACTTTTACAATTTTTTTCCAGAAATTGGAGGTCAACGGTAGCTGATAAGATAGGTTTATTAATTAGAGAGGTTATTCTCTGCATGTACAGTTTGTTCAAGTTGTTGAATTTTTAGGAGCATAGTGATATAGGTTTTTGTTTGTTAAATGTAAAAATCATAAAAAAAGTTGTATTATATTGATTGCCACCATCAGGGATGAAAATTTCAATCGTGTGTTTCGTTTCTCTACATCTCATCCGAGGATATTACCTCCGATCATTTCCGATAATAACGAACAAAAAACTCATTTCACGGTATCTAAACTTGTTCCCGAAGTGTATATAATTTAGATCTCCTGCTCAGTGTAGGAGGCAAACAAAAAAGTTGCAGCAATGATCACTTGGTCCAAGCGAATGTTGCCATTAACGCAGAGTTGTTATAATGTTGTAGTAAGTTCTCCTTACTAACCACTGGTGGAGGTGGTGCAGACATGATTGCAATCTCATCATTACTAAAGGGATACCGTAACCAAGAGCTGTGTCACATAATTTGTAATTCTTCGTAGGCGCACACACAACACAGGGCTTGACGCCGTTGCCAACACATATCGCGGCTCAGTTGGGCTTGGTAGGGGAATGAATGTTGCTTAGCGAAGCTTGTGAAGTGGATACTTGTAAATTTCTGTAACTGAGTTCTGTGGAAGCTTGACTTCTTGCCTAATTTGCAGATTTCAATTTCATTAGTTGGGGGTCAAAAATGTTGGCGGTGTTTAATGTTACATGCGTTTAGCGGACGAGTATGGAAGTGCTCCACCAGACATTCATTCGAAATGTGCTCCAGTTGATCACGAAGTTGCTCGAGCGGGCGCCAGCAACGTCTCCATTTGTCCCAGTAACGTGCTAGAGGTGCCTCTGTACTCGAGGGACGCGAACTTTATGCCATTTGTTCAGGGCTCACACGAGGAAGTCTATCAGGTAGGGGGTCGTCCAGGCGTTCATCAGCATCCCGGTGCTCTATCGTAGACGGAGTGCGAAGCTTTGGATTTTCTTCACCACTTGCGTGGAAGGGGAAACTTCAAGCTACTACAATGGCGCATTGAATGTTTCTGAGCCGTAGGTAGAGCAGGAAGGACCGTGGACTCGAAAAGGTGTCTGAAATCGGACCTGCTATGCTTTTGATTGTCGTTATCTACACCTATATCCCAGTTTCTTGCTACCCCAGCCACGCCGAGTTAGATGTCACAATGTGCCATCTAAGTGATGATCTTGAAAAGATTAGGAAGGAGGTGGTGTTTAGAGGTCAGGATTATAGTGAGTGAAATGGGGTGAACCGCTCATTTTGGAAGAAAGCTATGCGAGACCGTGGTTTTGCAAGCTGGCAAGTCTCACTATAAGAGCTAGGAGTCTGGCAAATAGCAGCAGAGACATAGGAGTTCTGAAAGCATCTGCTCACACCGAAAGAGATCCTTCTAGAGGAAGGACCGCTGGGGGCAGCTGTACAGAGGGAAACACAATTCCTCATTCGAGACCCGCCGCGGGAGTGAGCGGAGGAGTAGTGGCTTTGGGACTCTACCTTGGCTATCTGCAGTAAGCTATTGTCCCATTCTTCCGAAATTTCGCAGTTCAGACGCAGAGAACATTGTAGACGTCACGAGGGAGGCGCAGACAAGTAGCGCGTTTGACTGTGGTCAGGCGTGTGATCGGCCGGGGCAGCGCAGGCGATGTCCAGAAACTGCACACGTGTGTCACTCGCCTCCACTCGCATTTCCATGCACTTTTGAGCGAGGAAAGTGGCGCGATACTGCAGATGTGGACCCAGTCACTTCGCATGCGAGGCGCAAGATACTCCTGCAACAATAGGACTCCGGAAAGTCGAATTCGTATATTGAATTTGTGCAGCCCGCGGACGGCGATTTACAGCTCTATTTGACGACTCATTGGGATTACGGATATGCCTCCGTAGCTGACGTCATTTTCGGGTTACGGGCTATGGTATAAGGGTTCCCATATACGGTCATTGCTGCGTCGGAGCGGTTTTCGCCATGCTGGAATCATTGCCACCTGGTCATCTCCTCAGACACACCTACTTCAACACCAGGAGGACGCCTGATGAGATCGGCGCTGAACGCGGGATGTCCTTTATTCCACGGCGGACCGCCCTTTGCGCAAGGAGAACGCCATGCATTAGTCCCGCCTTCGCAAAGCCACGTACGTTTCCCTTTCTATCACCGGCGATATCTGCCCCTCAGCACCCAGCCAATTATCGCGCCCTTAAAGACAGCTCCCGCGAAAAGTCTCATGGATAGCTGCTTTCCAATTATGAAACAGTAGCTGATAAGTAATCTCCCAAAGAAGAAAACAGGCAAGAAGCGTCCTCCAGAACAACATAAACAAAATCGCTCCCTCACAGTCACACCTCCCTGCGGTCTCTGTGCAACCCCTAGCTCACAAATCTCTCTATCACATCTCGCAGTAGTTGATATCATCCAGTGCAAAAAAAGAATACAAAAAAAACAACAAAAACGCAGAGGAAAAACTCTTGGAAGGAAAAAGGAATTTTATCAACGCGGTGTCTGAATTTGGGATTACGGTAGCGCACGTTTTGTGCGTCGAGGTTTTGCATCACGAAAATTGCGTCACTCGTGCTTTTTACGCGTTTCACCTCGCGAAATGAGTTGAATTGAATGTATATACCTCCAATGAGTAAACTGTAATAAAGGGGAGCAGAATTATCCATGGGCATTAGCAATGCCCGAGGCACAAGAACAACTGAGTGGCCTCCGTCGGAGGACATCTAGCAAGTAAGGCGGTCCAACTGAGCAGGCGTTAGAACTAGAACTTACAGCGGCTGTAGCTCGCTTCTCGCTCGCTGTGCAGACGAATAGAGTGGGACAGTCTCTAGCTTGGGGGCTGTACTACTTGCACAAGGAAGGACGACCATGTACTACTCGAGCGCGGGGGCTGTTTAAGTGGACAGGAATAGTGTGGCGGCCGATAACACTGAACTTGGTTCGGTCCGGGGGGGGGGTGACTGGGGTACAAATATGATTTTGTAGATACTAGCTGATCCAAGGATGAAGCAGATGTCTACTGAAACCGTCGAAAATGCTCCAAATAAGGCCTATTTGAATTGCAGCACTTGACAAGCATGAGCTGAGTAGAGCTACGGGCTGTGCGCGAGAAATCAGACAACCGTGATCATGATCCATGCAGCCGTACACAAAACAGGGAATACTTTGCAATGCCTCGTAGAAGTCGGATGCAAGGCACATTATGAAATCGTGGAAAACTGCAAAACTGCTATGTACGTCTCCGGTCTACTATTAGAAGTAGTTTTCGTAGCCACCACCATAGCTACACATCGCACGTGAAACGGTCGAGTCGTCGATCGAAAAAAATCCCTCATGAGGAAATAATACACTTTTTGAGAGGCCATATACCACCCCTGTTGTGTTCTACGTAACGAATGGTGAGCCGTGGTCAGGTTTTCGTGGGCTTTTCAGTTTCAGCTTGATATGGGCTACGTTTCCTGCAAAGGGGTGGCTATAGTGGAGTAGCGTTTGCGTGTGCGATCCCATGCTCTTTATACACAGCGATTATTCCTCTTGGGTAATGATGGATGCCGTGAAAGTGATTCGGGTTGAATAATGGGTGAGTCTGCCCTTTTCACCTTGTGGTTTTTCAGCACTCATATAGAGGTAAGAAATATTCGTTCATCGCGGTCACTTTGTATTGGGAAGAGACCGTACTGTTTCCGTTCTTTGAAGTGCCCACCCGATTCTACAGTTGACCTTGCTTTGTCCTCAAGAAATGTTCGCTGTGTATC